CAACTTAAGCAATAAATTTGCATATGTATGAATCACTGTTAATGGAATAAATACTTCGCGTAGATGAAAGCATTTTTTGAAAAATATTTTAAAGATTTTTTTTTTTTTTTTTGATTTTTTTTCAATTTATTCCAAGTCAATATCAATTGAAATTAATAGATTTGAAAAACATTTGTTTCCATTTCACAGATTGATACTAATAAAGACGGTTTCATTGATCTTACTGAACTTAAGGAGGCACTCGATCTTGTTGGCTTTAAATTGGCCGGCTATCAGGTGCGGGAGATGATTGAAGAATTTCAAAATAAGCAAAGAACTTCGCATCAGGGTAAATTAAATTTAGAAGAATTTGAAAATTTATGCTTGGATCTCAAGTCTAAGGATGTCGCAAGTACCTTCAAAACTGTCGTATCGAAAAAGGAGAATTTGGAGACGTTGGGCGGTATGTCGAGCATTTCATCAGAAGGCACCACCCATTCAGTACGTTTAGAAGAACAATTGGCCTTCTCCGATTGGATTAATTCAAATTTGGGTCACGATCAAGATTTAAAGCATTTATTGCCCATCGACGCAGAGGGTAAACGATTATATCAATCGATAAAAGATGGTATATTGCTATGTAAAATCATAAATCACTCCTGCCCCGATACCATTGACGAGCGCGCTATTAACAAGAAAAACCTTACCGTTTATCGGGAATTTGAGAATTTAACATTGGCTTTGGTATCATCGCAGGCCATCGGTTGTAATATTGTCAATATCGATGCCCATGATTTGGCTAAGGGCAAGCCCCATCTAGTTCTGGGTTTATTATGGCAAATTATACGCATTGGTCTATTCAGTCACATTACATTAGACAGCTGTCCCGGCTTGGCCGGACTTTTGTTTGACAATGAAAAACTGGAAGATTTAATGAAAATGTCTCCAGAGGCTATATTGTTGCGTTGGGTTAATCATCATTTGGAACGTGCTGGCATTTCCAGACGCTGTACCAACTTCCAATCCGATATAGTGGATTCTGAGATATATTCACATTTGCTTAAGCAAATAGCGGGTAATGATGTTGACGTGAATATGGATGCCTTGCGTGAGAGCGATTTGCTGACACGAGCGGAGATAATGTTGCAACAAGCGGCCAAATTAAACTGTCGCAGCTTCTTGACACCTCAGGACGTAGTCAACGGAGTCTACAAGTTAAATTTGGCTTTTGTTGCTAATCTTTTTAACAATCATCCCGGTTTAGATAAACCCGAACAGATTGAGGGTCTTGAAACGATTGAAGAGACCCGTGAAGAGAAAAGTGAGTTAATAAAAATTACAAAAAAAAAAAAAAAAAATTAAAAAAAATAAAAAAAATAAATTTTTTTAAATATTTTTATTTATTCTAAAGCTTATCGTAATTGGATGAATTCAATGGGCGTTACCCCCCATGTCAATTGGTTATATTCGGACTTGGCCGATGGCTTAGTCATCTTTCAATTGTTTGATATAATACGACCCGGGATAGTTATTTGGAGTCGTGTTCATAAACGCTTCACTCCTTTACGTAAATTTATGGAAAAATTAGAGAATTGCAACTATGCAGTGGAATTGGGTAAACAATTGAAATTCTCTTTAGTAGGCATAGCCGGTCAAGATCTTAATGATGGCAACGCTACATTGACATTGGGTAGGTTTAAATAATATATAGCAAAAAAAAAATAAAATATATATATATATATATATATAATCTTAAACTCTTCCCATAATTACTGTTTTACTTAGCACTTATTTGGCAATTAATGCGCGCTTACACTCTTTCGATACTGTCACGCTTGGCCAATACGGGCAGCCCTATTATTGAGAAGGAAATTGTTCAATGGGTGAATAATAAATTATCAGAAGCGGGCAAGCGATCACATCTGAAGAATTTCAATGATCCTGCCATAGCAGATGGTAAAATTGTTATCGATTTAATTGATGCCATTAAATCGGGTAGCATTAATTATGATTTGGTGAAAACTGGCGGCAGTCAAGAGGTAAGTGATTCAAGATTGCTAAACAAAAATTAGGCAACAAACATAATATTAGGTTAAATACACCTTTTTAATTCTTCCCTATAAATACGTAAAATAATGTTTATGAATAAGGTAAGAATTGATGGGCTTCGCTTGGCTTATTAATGTCTTCGAAATGAACAAATGAATAGAAAACACTGTACTGTAATGATTAGCTTAAGCTTAAATGCTTCATTATTATTATTAACACAATATACATATATATATATATATATATTGATTATTTAATGCATTTTGCTTTTGTGTTTTTGTTGTTGTTATCATTATTTGCAGGACAATTTGGCTAATGCTAAATATGCCATATCGATGGCACGTAAAATAGGTGCCCGCGTTTACGCGTTACCCGAAGACATTACCGAAGTGAAACCAAAAATGGTTATGACAGTGTTTGCCTGTATGATGGCTTTGGATTACATACCGAATATGGATAGTGTGGAAAATCAAAATAACATTAACAACAGCAATTGAACAGCGGAAAGCCAAATTCACAAATTACAAAAAACAACGCATGCAGCAACAGCAACAGCAACAGCAGCAGCAACAGTAAAATCACCAGCAACAAAATCCACCTTAACTGGTAGAGGAATTAGCGGCAAGATAATATATATATATAAGAATTTTCTTCATTTAGAGCGAAAGTAGAATGGAAAAGCAACAAAAAAAAAAAAAAACAAAAAAAAAAAAAAAACAAAAAAGCAAAAAAAGGAGGAAGCAATTATTCTATTCTTTATGTATCTATATACATGTGCATGTGTATCCCCATGCATATTTATAGATATAAATTTTTAAAAAGTTTTCAATTAAACCACAATAATGCCAATTAAGTAATTACATAAAAACTTTATTTTTATATATATATTTAGAAGCTTGTATATGTATAAATTTTTTTACAAATCTTTTATAACTATTTAGTGTTCAACTTGAGTTCTTCTCTTATCTCCGCCCCTTTTTTGTCTAATTTTGAATTGAACCTTAACCTAATCTTGTGTATGTATAAAAGTGTATACATTTAATGTATTTTAGGGATAAATTTTCCCAATTCTTTCATATTCGTCTTTTTTTCTTTTTCTTTTATTATTATTATTATTATTATTATTTTTATTATTATTATTATTATTATTATAATTTTGTTAAATGTTAAAATTCATTTGATTTGTAATGAACTTAAGCTGAACAAAGAAATTGACTTAAAAAATAAAAAATAAAAAAAAATAAAAACAAAGGAAACAAAAACAAAAAGGAGGACATACAAATGAACCTTATTTTATAAATAAAGGTTAACAAGCAACATAAAAAAAATCAAAAAAAATATTAAAATGAAGCAAATATGTACAATGTATGTATACTTATGAAGCGAAGCAAAAATCCATTTGAAGAATATATTATAAAAACGTTATTTATTTAAAAAATTAAAAAAAAAAAAAAAAAAAAAAAAAACAAAAAACAAAAAACAAAAAAACATCTAATAGGAGTTTAATTATTATTATTTTTTACATATTTATTTAAGGTTTTTTTGTGCTTTTTAAATAAAAATAATATTAATTGCAAATATTTTTTAAAAAATTTAAAAACACACACGTATATATATACATACATACATACATACATACACACAACATACAAAAGTTCCTTTTCTACGCTCACAGATTATGACAGTACAATCAATTTGAAGGAATTAAATGTTTTAACAGAAAGGTAATCTTAACCGTACAAGTGTACAAGCGTACATCTCTTTACGTAGCATCAACTAATATTTTGTAAAAAGCGAACGTAATACGAGCGATAAACAATATATCGGATACGTACTCTCTCTTATTATTTATACTAATGATCTATATGTTAATTGTGCAATCATTTTCACCTTGCACCTGATGAAGGTCGTATTAAATGCTTGTACCAAGCTTTGCACTGACAAACGAGAAGAAGAAACGGCGAATATGAGTTTTTTTATTTTTTCTTTTATTTTAACATTTTTTTAAACTATGGCACTAGTCCGGCTTGATTTGTATCTATCTAGACCTAGACAGACATATGCATAACATGTCAATTGAAATCTTTATATATAATTTTTGACAGCATGGAAATTGGAAACAAAAGAACATCGCGGCATAGATATGTCTAAGGGAATGCAGCATACAATAATGATCAAAAATGCTTATCTATATGTATTTTATGAAATCCTCTTTAATTATTCTGAAGCCGATCAAAAATACATGTGCTTCTAAATCAGATCGTTTCCTCCGTACGTTCATTTTAGCATTTAATTAATCTAAGAGGTTTAAGAAATAGTTTTTTTATTAATCTTTTAAGGATCGAAAAGGCTAATCTATAAACAAAATATTTTTTACTTTCTTTATGGATGGACTACTTTCAAATTCCAGTTCATTTGATATCAAACGCAAGTTTCACTAATTTTCCAAAACACGCGTACAGCTGTTATTCATATAACAGTTAATAAGAAGTTACTTTTTAATATCGCCAACTAGCGCCTATCTATTCTACGCACTATGCTAACTTGCTAACTTGTTTCTCTGCGCTGCGCTATAGGCCGATGCATCGCAGATCCATTTTCGATTTAATTCACAGTCTGCTAATAAGTGATGATCAATGTTATCACAATTGTTTAAATTCTTCATAGCTATTAGCTTATGGTCGATAAAGCAGTTGAAGAAATGTTGTAACTGTTTTCACAAGTTGAGGGCTCATTAGTTTTTAGTAAGCGATCAATTCTACACTCTCATCTAAGGCTATCGGCTTTATTGAAAGCATTACGGTACTTGAGATTTGCACCCGCGATCATTGAATTGTTAGACAAAATCCCCTGCCTCCTCGGCCACTCAGGCGGATAACATCTAATTTAAAATATTACATTGGCTTAAGACTTCCGGGGGCGTTAAAATTTCAATTCAATGCCTTTTGTTGGATTAAGATTTCATCTTTCCGCCAAAATGTACCGGCTATAAGAACGATTCATTCAAAAAAACTAAAGGTCTGTAAAAAATATCACACCGTAACAAACTAATCGATTCGCTTGTAATAAGCGAAACTATGCGATAGAGTAACAACCCAATTCAACTGAAACTTAGCATATATATACTATTGTTGGGTTCCGGTCAAAATTGAAATTCTGGTCCGACCATGTAAATACGGGCCTCAAGATACAAAAACCTGTTATTTACTATTCATAGTTATTACTAGTCTAAAACGTGGTACCCGCCAAGCTCAATATTAAAATGCACGATATTATCTTAGAAGCGGCGAAGTAAATGCGAGAACCTACAACATAACGTATAACCTATAATATGAGTATGTTCGTAGAGTAGTTTGACTAACAACAACTCAGTGATCGTGGGTTCGAATCTCAAATGCGGTAGAGTTATCACTAAACGCAAGCTGATAGCCTTATTTGCTAGTGTCTTAACTCTTTACTTTTAGAATTTATTTAACTGATTAAATTTATTCTAATGATAATAACTATTCGAGGCACAGCCATAAGAAAGATTCCAATCTATATAGTTTCTCTAGCAATCATCGAACGATCCAAAGAAAGCAAGTTTGAGCGCCAACATGAAAGTATTTGTCTTCTTGATCGGCATCAAATTCTAAACGGTCTAAGCGCGTACGTCCTTCCATCCGTTTGTGTACGGTCTGTGGCATACGCTCTTCTGGTCGCAAAAATGTAGCAGTCAAGTTGCCCGTAAATTGGTATTGCGTGTGAGTCAAATCGTTCAGAGAACACGATCGCAGTCTATCACCATAAGGCACTTCATATGCAATGACAATAATTCTTACTTATATCCTATGGTTGGTCCAGCAGCATATATATGCCCATGCCCATAAAAATTAGGTTTTTTCAGGATAACAGTGCTGGGTATAAAAGAGTCAGTCGCGGCCGGATATAATTTTCTTACTTTTTATATTTCTTTTAATTGTTTCTTAACTCTTTTCGTTTTAATGCCAAATAAAAAAAAATTCTGTTAAGAAAAGTTCGAAGCAATTAAAGCGTTCGACTTGTATTTTGCATTTCATGCCCCGAAATGTTAAAACCCGTTCTGATTGTCCCTCTCTATTGAAAATCTTTTATACGAACATATAGCTAGTACTGCATTACTGTAGCAGGAAACATATTTTAACATTTGGACGCATAACGCACAATGCAAACGCGTTCATTCATTATGTGCGGGCCTTTAAAAAAATTATATTCGCGATAAGGAGAACTTCGATTCCTTAGCATTGCAAATCTCAATATATTTTTTAAGTTGCGTACTGTGTAGAAGATTTTATTAACTGCAACCTTATCGGTTACGCAGAAATTCAAAGTGCTTCCGATGACGGTCTCCGTTAATGTTTCGGAAATAATTTAAATAAATATCTACTAAGGCAGAAAATTTTTCTTAGTTTTGCTTTAGTTCAGCATAGAATTTCCTTTTTCAATTCGCTTGAGTGGATGTAACGTGAGTGCAGGTGCGTAAACAGCTCCAGTGTCAGGCAATGCAACATATATTATGTGCGTATATTTGTGAGATTTGTGAGCTTGATACGTGGTTTTTTTTCCGAATGGTACAATCAGACACCCCAATGTACTTTCAATTACATATTTTATCAAGGTAGGTATCCAGATATGACTTTCCAGAGAAATGCAACGCTTGGCGCGTACAAGTTAAATAATCTTAAAATAAATATTTTCGGATATTTTTCTTTCTTTCAGGGGTTCAGAGATTTTCTAAGATGTATAAAAATCTGAATCATTCTAGACATGTTCGTCAGTCCGTCCATTCATCTGTCCGTTAATTCTTGTGGTAAAACGCTCTCATACTAAGTTTCACTTCTCTCAAAGTAAGTTTCACTTCACCCCTCTTTATGCGTTAACAAAAGCATTATCTCACATTTCAATGCCACAAAAGTTCAGATAATAGAACAAAAACCTTTTTGTATATCATGGGAATTAAGCTTTGAATAAATGTTAGTTCAACGATTTGTATTTTACAATTTATTTAGACCAAACTAATAAACTCGAGGACTACAAAGTAGGATGAGCACAAGCGGCTCAGTTTTCAATTAGCATTCTTTAAATGCCTGAAAGCTCTAGACTTAAAAACCAGAAATCTCTAAAATTAAAAAGTAAGAAAATTATATGCGGTCATAAGCGCATCTTTTATATACCCCTCAACGTGATTCGGAAAAAGACCAAAAAAAAAAAAAAAAGAAAACAAACCATATTTTCATACTTGGGTGGGCGCAGCTGATTTTTTCTCTTTTTAAAAGTGGAAAGCAGAGTGGAAATTTATATAGGATGTATGTGTTGTACTTTACTTGCAAAGAAGAAAAAACTCGTAAAGCAAAGGTGTTCACAGCTTTTCTTGGGTAGGGGGCGTGTGCTTTGACCTGCTGAGGCTATTTTCGAACTCTTTTTGCAAATTTGCAAGTAATATCTTCATTTTCGCAAAGGAGAGAATGTTTAGCGCAGATACTACACAGCTAGACAGGCAGACAGATGGACGGATGATTATGTTTAGGTGCATTGCAAATTTGACATTGGCCAAGCATTTATATACATAGCATATAGGGGTTTTGAAGTTTTCTTCTGCACGTTATAAAGATATTGAAAAAAATAGTATTGGGTAGGCGTGGAAAATTTTTGCAGATCTGTCTGTTATACTTTATGAGCAATGAGCAGAAAACCAATTTTTTATGCCTTTTCAATAAGAGAGGTGTTATCAGTTTACGTGGTACGGTAGGTGTGTCCTTTGGTCAATTTGACCCATTTTCAATGCCAATCTGCTTGCAAGTACTCCTAAGAGAATGTTCGGAACTGATATAACACAGACGGAATTTGATGCTGCGTAAGACCCTACTTTGCGGAGTCTCTGAAGCTTCCTTCTGGGCATTGCAAACGTTTTGAGAAAAATAATATACCCTTCAACTTTCGGTGATGTGCACAAAAATCTGATCGGGCCTCGCGTTTATGGTTTCTCTCAATTGATAAGACCACTTAAATGATTGTATTTTATTATTGGAGCTTCTGAGTACGCCAAAATTTATCGCTGACCATCGTTTGAAAGCTTAACCTTAAGATATCTCTTGAACGCATATGTAATATCATTGTATTGGAAGATGATTTTCAGTGGCTCAAGTTTATCATCGATATCTTCTAATAGCTTTAAAGTATCCATGCGAAGAGTAAAAAAAAAACGCGGTTTCGTTTCAATTTAAATGGCCGAGGCATCACTGACTCTTGCCAAAGTTTTTTTTCCAAGGTAATTCGAATTTCTGACTTGGCTTCGCTTGAAACATTTCGTAGAAGTAAGACCTGCTAGGTGACGGAACACTCAAGATATAGTTCTAAGACACACTTTTTATGTATCTTATGTTCATAGATAACTTTTAAATCAATTATTTTTTGAATACGTTTCATACTACGATTAAGTTAAACTAAACTGATCCGTATAACTGTAGTATAACTATATTAATTTTTTCTTTTAATTTTAAATATCCAGAACAGAAATTTATTGAAATTAAGCCAAAACTATATATAACAAATTTCAGCTTATTTGCTTATTTATATATACATACATGCATACATAAAAAGAAATTAAATAAATTTATATTTATATAAAATTTCAAAGAATTTCGTTTTATTTTTTGGGTAATTTTTCATTGATTTAGCAGGAAACCCGAACGATTGTTATAACCACTTTCATATTTTCGCGATGTTTGCTCCTTATCTTGTGGAGTATTTTGCAAACTATATGTAACGGTACGTTTGTGTATACGTTTATGATATTTCTGACCATGTTTACCATTGTTGTGATTATCAATTTTTGGTGACTTAGTCTGAGCATAACATTTATATAACTTTTCGCCCTCGCGATTTTCGCAGAGATAGCAGACCTTACGGTTCGAAGACTTCATTGTGCATTTGTAGGTGAAAGGTGTTTTCACTAATGTTTTATTTGAGGCGGATTTTTTACCATCGTATTCGTCTTCTCTGCTGTTTTCTTCAAATTTTGGTTTTATACGATATTTACGATAATTCTTTTTATTTTCATAGGCGTAACTCTGAGGAGAGCTTTCACGATTATAAGAACAACTTTCCGATGTTTCGCCATTTCGTGGATTTTTGCAAATTAAACATTTTTGACGATGTTTCGTAATGTTCTTACATGTTTCGGTTCTTGAATGCTTTCGACTGGCATCAGTTAAAGGCTCTTGTTCGGCCGACGTTAAGTCTTCTTCGGCACTTAATGGTTTCGTATAATCATGCTCAGACTCGAGCGAGGCAGCTCTGGACATGGAGTCGTCAAAATATTTTTTCACAAACTCATCATAAGCTCGATCGTAATCGTAAGGAACCGACTTCGTTTCAGCTGTTTTGCTATCCTGCTCGTCACTATCGATATGATCATTTCTTCTTTGCAATGCTGGCTCTGATCTTGAAGAACGTTCTTGTTGTTTAATCACTTTTTCAGGCTCTTTCAATTTCGGAGATAATGTTTGACCGATTTGATGAGTTTCATATATGAAAGCATCCAAATTTTGTAAGAGAAATCCTGGTGGCGCTTGATCCCAAAATGTTGCCGCATTATCCTTTACGTGGACTTTCGCACTAAATGCAATCATAACACAAATCATCAATAATAATATTATAGGCGCCATATTAGCAAAGTCTTAGTTATTGCTTACTACAGACTAATCATGATCTGCCTTAGCATTTATTTATACAGGCACCTCGAAAATGATGTTTAGTGAAGCATTAACTGAGACTTTGTAATAATTTATATTACAACCACAAACTATTACACTTCCAGGTACTTGAGATGTAATAACTTGAAGGAAATACCAACATTTTGTTGCTTTTGTTTATCGTAAACGGTCATTAACATTTGCATAATAATGTTTATTTTATATAGACTTGAAAGCTTCGCATTTCAAATTACATATTAACGTAATGTTTACAATTTTAGTTGGCCTCAAATTCTAATTTTAAAAGATTTGTTTCTTGTTGTTCAAATTTCTCTTTATGGGATAACATTAAAATTAAAATAAAAAAAAAAAATAAAAAAATTTATATATATATATATATATATATATACATATAGAGTTTTTCCATTTTTTATACCTCAACAAATCTTATTTAGTAGGAATACTATGAATTTAGTTTAATGGCCCTTGGAGGACCATTATGTGTTAAATCTATTGCAATTTCTGTGGCATGTGCTTTAAGTAGCTTTTGACGTTTATTACGCATTTCACGGCGTTTTTCACGCAAAAGCTGTTTAGCCTCTTCGGTATCCATTTCTTCCCAACCACCGGCTTCATCGTCTTCCCAATCTTCTAGATCAGCCTATTTATTTAATAATAAATATTTTTGCTTATTTGAAATATGTTTTTTTTTTTTTTTTTGCTTTTAATTTTCTAATATTTCAATATTTACTTACATTTAGTGTTATTGGAACATCCGATTTCGCTTCCAACCGTGAAAGATCTATTTGCTGTTGATTCTGATTATTTAAGTAATACTTTGGTTGGGGCTGAATAACCGGAATCAATTCCTAAACGTAAAATAAAATGAATTTTATACTTTTTTTTTTTTTTTTCATTTTCTTGTTGTTGTTATTTTGGAATTGTACCTTAAAGTAATCTGGTTCAGGTTCTTCTGTTTGAGGTGTTGGCGGTTTGGCTATGCGTTGCCGATACTGTTCTATGTGTTCTTGAACAGTTCGTGGATTCTCATCCCATGAATTCCAATCACGTTCGGGCGGCTAAATGCGTTATTATTAATGCAAAAAGGAAGCTAAACGCATTTTATTAATTTATTTACCAAGTCAGTTCGATTTGTTTGCGATAAGTCCTTGTAATTGCTATCGACTACCACATTTGTCATGGGTTCCGACGAAAAGCTGGGCTTTCTTCGTCCGGAAAGACAGCATAATGCCCGACGAAACAAACCGATCAGGCTCAATATGAGCACCTTTATTTGCTGCAACACCATTTAATTAATAATTCAAAATTACAAAATATTACACTTAACTTAATTTTTTTTTTTTTTTTTTTTTTTTTTTTAAGATTTGTTGACATTTGAACTTTCTTTTCTCATCCAGTGAGAGAAGTTAACAAACCGCCATCTTTATCAAGTGAATACAAAATGCGCTGAATAATAAATAGTAAGCGAGATAGAAGATAACAGGCCATGGCAACGAAAAGAAATAACCGTTATTTTTAAAATAGAATAATCCTCTGCTCGCAATCAAACAGACAAACACTCGCTGCTGGTATTTTAAATTTCTTTATTTTTAATAATATTGCATTAATTTTTATTACTCTCACTGCTTCGATTTATCATTTTCATTATGAATCAATTAACCTTCTCGATTGAATGGATCCAATTATTGCATTTTCGTGATATTAGAGCTTATAGTTATATCTGAAAGCTTTGTAAAAAAACAAAGTTTGTCACAGTTTCCTTTTTTATGCACATACATGCATGCCCTTTAGGAGCATACTCCAATGGGTCGTTCTATTCAAGTACGATACTGTCATGAATTCATTAAGATAAACGTGGTCTTAAAATGCTTGTCTTTGTTAATGAAATTCTCAAAAAATTCTCAAATTAACCAACACGCTCGGAAAGTGATCAGCATGTGAAGATGCTATTGTTTCCATTCCCCAAATTGAGTAGAAATATGGGAGTATTTTGCTTGCAATCTCGCTGATAATAATAATAATAACTAAAAATATTCATATTGAAAAATATTCAAATTTGAAAAGCATTTCTCTTAATGAGAGAAAGAGAAGGTGCAAATAATAATTTTCAAGAAGTAAATACAAAGTCTTAGTACCGAAGCCAACTTTAATGTAGCAGCGCGAAGATTTGTGCCTAGAAAAAAAATAAATAAATAAATAAATAAGAATCACTTAAGTTCTTAGCTGGTAATGTTTCGAGAAAAACATGGTTTTAAGTTTCACATTTTTGAAAAATTTTCAAATTTTTCAGCGCCCATAAACCCGTTTTTATATCATTCTGGACTATTTAAAGGATCATTTAATGAAGGATATTATATTTAACTGTGGCTGCATCTTTTATACCTAACAACTGTTTCTTAAAAGAAACGCAAAAAAAAAGAAACGAAATTTCGAGACTTTATCGTTGAGGTGGCCGATATTTTCCATCTTTGCGTAGATACTATAGAATGTGCATGGATGTAAACTATTATCGAGGTGTCTGTTGTAGATTATGGGCAATGATTAGGATATGTGTATTGCACATTGGGCATGTTCTTTAGCAGATTCGGACGACTTTCGTTACTAAACAGATGATATAAAATTGGTGGACTTATGCACATGTATTTATGGATTAGATATCTATCTATATGGATTGCCTATCTGGCCATCTATGTATCTGTATGCCGATGAAGGGAGAGAAGATACTTCTCTCCTATAGCTGGGTATCTTTCATTCAGCCCTCTCTCCTTTCAGTCCATTTTTTCTTCGTCCTTTCGATTTAATCGCATATTTCAGGCGATGCGACCAAGATGGTTCTTAGAACTATTTCCCTTAGTGAAAACTTGATCTTAAACAAAAAAAAAAAAAAAAAAAAAAACAAAACCACTCAGGTTTGTTACAATTGTCTTTCCTCTCTCCGATTCCTAAAGCATAGATGAAAATTGTTTAAGACTTCGGATTACTTAACGCGCATCCGTACCTGGCTTTTATATTCTTAAATCAATCCCAAGAGGAAATTTTGAAAATCGGCCAAACAGAAAGTTGGGAAATCGAGCAGGGCTGTCTGTCGAGATTTTCTCAAATCAGAATTAACCCCAAGCGGTTCTTCGTTAGCGAACTTTTATTTATTTGTTTTTATTTCTGAAGAAAATATTACTGTCGTCCGATACATATTTGCATAAACTAATCAATGTAACTGTGAGTCATTATGAATTGAGATAATTATTCAGATGATTTTTCACCAATGGCTCTCTTCAACGATTTTTAGGTTCATTGAAACAATTGTTTGGTCAATCGTGTTGCAATATGCTCTGTCTTGTTGAAATCAATTGTTCGAATTTATCTTACCCATGACGCACCAGTCTGGCATGGCACAATCTTGAGGAACTTATCTGAACTAAGCACTATGATAATTGATTTCTATACACACAAGTGAATTTCACGCAGGACTCCGAACTGATAGATTTTGCTTCCCAAAGAGTCTATTGAGAAGAAAGTAAATCGATTTTCTTAGAGTTTAAGATCAGAAGTGCCTTCGCAAGTGCTTTCTACTACTATGTATATTCACAAAAGGAGCATTTGTATATATAACATAAATAATCCTTGAAAATTCTCAGTAAATTAAAAATACGGATGTTAAGCAAATTTCACAAGAATTGATTTCCTTTAATTTAATATAATTTATTCTTCTAATCAAGCTTTTTATCTTATGTAGGTACGCGTACTCGCGTTTGAATTTTAATTCATTTCGATTCACTAATAGCACCGATTTTGGTACGTCGGCGGAATTTTACAAAAATAATTTCAAGAATCCAAGGAATCGCGCATAAGGCCATAAAAAAGTTGAGGCAATGAAATGTTAGCACATAGTCTTGGGTCATATCGCGTAAATAACCGACTGCTGGACCGATAACGAACATAATGTTACCTTGTAAGAACATGAATAAACCGTAACCGGTCGCAAACCTGCAAGCATAATAAACGTGTTGAGATAAGTGTTCTATGCGTTAACATATATTGTTTACCTGTCCTTTGGTAAATATTCAGCAAATACCAAAGGAAGCGGTACATGAATCCAGGTCCTTAGAAATCCCATTACAGCGGTTATTATAGCCATGTTTTTAAAGTCGAAAACGGTTAAGAAAACTGAAATCAAATTCAATGAAACATTTACTGATATAAATACCGTTATGTTAGATCACAATTTTAATAAAATGTACCGAAACGTGAGATTACGGTGAAGAAAGCGCCCGCCAGGTAAATGTACCTTGAAGGCATTTGTATAAACATTGCTAGGAATGCTAAAAATACACGCGAACCCAAATCAGCGGCCGCACCTATTGCTATGATACTGGCAGTATCAGGCTAAAAAAGTTTCCTTTCTGAAAAAATATTTATATAGATATATATATATATGTATAATAAATACCTTATCGTAACCTAAATGGAACATATATAAGGGCTGCAAAGTAAAAAAGGCAATATCCGAATATAGAGCAAACGATATGCCCAAAACGATATTCACATAGATCGGTTTCTTCATTAGTGTTAGATCCAGAAAATCGACGATAATTTGCCATACGCTTCGCTTATCGTCACTCACTTCATTATTACTGGTAGGCATTGATTTATTCGAAATGGCAGTTGAATGCCTTCTCGAACCCAAGACATTTACCATTTGCGGTGAGGCATCACTAACAATTACCGGTCCCGACCAATTACCCAAACTAGCAATACTGGAACTACGGCTGGAAAGTTTTCGCAAATTTTCTCGGGATAATTTTTGCGAACTCTTGCGACTGTATGTTAACGGCGATAAAAGATTGGGATCCTCCTGCGTATTATCCGTTATCACGGGCTGCGGTGGTTTCGCATTCTCGAACATCTCTTGATCGTTAATGGGAAGCCGGCGCATATGCCATTCAACAGGTTGCATTAATAACATGCCTAGCACTGCATGGAAATTAATAGCAGCCAATACAGCTAAACAACCACGAAAACCATACCATTCCAGAAATTTCTGCATTAGCACTGGATAGAACATAGTACCCAAACCGATTAGAGATTGAGCAAAACTCATCCACATAACACGTTTCTTTACAAAATAATTATTAAATGTTGTATATGACGTTGGTACAATTAACCCGAAGCCGATGCCTTGAATTAAGCTGAAAGCAATTAGTAGATCCAAAGTGGATCTGACAAATATTTGCATTAGACAACCAGTAAAGTATAAAATTCCACCAGTTAAACCGATTGCACGTACACCGAACCGATTAAATAATGAGCCCGAGAAGAGGCCAGCAAAACTGAAGGCGCAAAAGAAGGCACTGGTTATGAAGGCAATTGCGCTCGTTTCAGCTCCGATGCTTTTCAAAAAGTCGCCAAACACCAAACCAAATGAGGGTAAAGCGGCTAAACCGCTCACCTGGAATCATTGTTTATATTAAGAAACGAAATTTCCGATTTCGTCTTGGCACTTACAAATGGCATTGCCATGCCAACGCACACCAAAATGCCCCATCCACCGTCTGGCGGTTCTAAACGAGTACCCTTCTTCATTCTATACGAGAATTCTATGCATTCGAGTGTGCCGTTTGGAATGAAAATTTGAAATGAGTTCTAAACCCGTTTTTTTTTTTCGCCTTTTTTTTATCACTTGTCAATAAATATTCAGCATCTTGGTTTAAAGAAAAGATAACGTGCTTTGTGATAAGATTTAATGTTACATCAAAACACATCATACACATGCAAGATATAGACAAGGGAGTTAGTTAATTACCTCTCTAGGGCTCATAATGCCCGGTGATATTTACGAGAAAATTAACAAAACAAACAAGTAGCAGTTAATTGCACTTCAGCAGCATCATTAGAAAATAACCACGCAGAACAGTATACAGATATACTTGTTTTAGTTGTCTTGATACCCATCAATGAAGAATCGAGGGTATATTCATTTTCTTAAAACGTTTGCAATGCCTAGAAGGAAGAGTTAGAGACCCTTGATCCGCATCAAATTCTGAATCGATTTAAGCATGTCCGTCTGTCCGTCTCTCCGTCTGTATAATGTCTGTTATAAGCATTCTTCTGGCCCCAAAAAAATAGCCGATCGACTTCAAATTTGGCAGAAGCATTAGAAATTCTTGCGCGCAGGCTGCCTTCGGATTCGGGCTAAATCGGTCAAAGGATCCGCTTACAGTACTACTCAACTTTTTCAAAACGCTTAAAAATTGATTTTTTGGTCATTAATCCTAAGCTATAGCAGATAATTGCCCAAAACTCTGAACGCATATTCAATATTCAGGCGATGTTGTAGTACCTTCAGAAAAATGAAAAAATACAATACGCCTACCCAATGTTATAGTGTGTCATTATTCAATTGATTTTTTCTTTTTTTTTTCAAAACTTATACATCGCCCAGAAACGAGCGTCAAAAACACCATCAGGTGTATAAAATGTTGGCCGGTTTCAAATTTGGAATGCCCCTAAGCAAGCCCGTCTGTTCGTCTACCCAATTGTGTAGTGTTTGTGGTAAACATTCTTCCGTTCGCAAAAATGAAGATATCGCTTACAAATTTGCAGAAGAATTTGACGGTGACCTAAACTTTTCAATGGCCACGCCTACAACGCCCACATGCACACACACGAAAAATGATTTTATTTGCAAATAAAAAAAAAATCAGCCGCCTCCACTCCTTGTTATAGAGGATGAAAAATGTAGTTCTTTTACTTTTTGTGGCTTTGTAGGGATTATGATGATGGATGGGTGTTAAAAATTCGTTCACGACGGAATATAATTTTCTTACTTGTTTCACTATGCTTCATTAAAAAGCTTAGTCCGTCCATATTATGCTTTCCAGTTTTGGAGGGAATAAGTGACAAACTTGTCTTGATCCCAAGACGAATCTTTTATGCCGAGCATTTTCGAGAGTTTTTTGTCCATTTTCTTCTCGCTTCGGACAGATGCGGGGAAGAAGATTTTGAAATTAATTTCAATTCGACATATGCAAGAGATTGAACTTTATTTTCGAATATTTACTTGTTTGATCGCCATTTTGCACGAGCAGATCACTTTGTCCACCTTTCATCTTTATCTTAAACCTAATTTGTCAAAACTAATCAAGAATATATTTTTTATCGAAATTTAGGTTTTTTGTTTTCTTTCTTAACTTTCGTGACCTTGTGAGTTTCAGACAGCGACAAAGGACATTATGGGCGGTGGAGAGAGTTGAATTTGCCCAAGTTTTCTCATAAAGGCTTCTGCTTTTCTACAACTGGAAGGAAAATGTTAGCGAACACTAACGCTTGCATTGTCGGTATAAAAAAAAAACAAAAACTATTTTCATAGTTGATAATGTTGATCTAAGCGTAACTAAAGCGGAAGCATTTATAGCTAAATTAAGATATCTAAATGCATTATCGTTTTTATAGGCTGGCCTAGTTTTATCACTAAACTCTATCGAGAATAGTAACAAAATGTATCTTAATCTCTAGTGTGGTAATGCGGCAATGAGAGAAGTAAAGCAAAAACATGCCCATCACCGAAGTATTTTGTCGAAAATTTTTTTATTTTCCTTTCTTTTAGGATCACGGTGACGGTTGTAAAAGATTCGGTCGCGGCTGACCTGTTGTTTTTTTTTTTTTTTTTTGAGTTTGTACAGAATTCATTACCCACATGAAATTTTGTTTCATGAAATTTGGCGCCTTTTCCCAAAGTCACATGCACCTGCGTACAGCAATGAAAATAAAAAACAAAAGCGCGGATATAATTTCATTGAGTAGGCTTGTGTTTATTCTTCCTGTAGAGAATCATTTCATTAATCATTTGCCTGGGGAATTAATAAATAAGACCAGATCGTGCGGTACCAGCCTTGTGCTCTCGTTGTATCCAAAGGATAACTCACGTCTCATTAGAACTGCAGTCGATTTCGAGGAAGTCATAGATGGTAATAAAAAATTTGGAGTTATAATCGGGTCCCTTGTTATTGGAGGCAATTGTTCGCTTCAAATAAGTGGGCGAGAAAATAAATGAAATTTTAATCAATTAATTTTTTTTGTTTTTTGTTTGGACATCATTCATTCAGGCTTCATGCCCACTGTTCGCGTATTACGGGACGGCCGGGACGAAATGAGGAAAAATAAACGGCTAGGGAAGCGACGGTAACCTTAATGCGTGTATGCCAAATCGATAAGTGTTATGCCTTTGCCGACTAAGCGCTCACTATAAGTACGACCATGCATGGACTTGGTAATCGTGATTTTTACCTACTCGGCTACACACACGTTTGGTTATTATTTTGGAAAAAAAAAAGAGAAGCAATATCTATAAATTATTTATATTATATTACATATATAATATAGATTTGAGACCAAGTCTTTAAAATTCCAAAAATCTCGGCGAATAAATAAATAAATAATATTCGAGCGTCTCGTACTGATCTTCGCGCACACCTTATTAGAGCTTCATATCCGTTACGGTGTTGGCAGTTAGATGACATTACGTAAAAAGCACGGAAGGTATTACATCACAGATGGCCTTACTTTCATTTACATATTTTTTGCATCCGCTACATGTAGAAATTTTCATTCAGCACACGCTACCGTATATTTTCAAATCTAATTGAAAGCCTATTGGATTCATGGAGCTATTGCCGATTTGATGCAGGCAGCTTAAACGTCGCTCACGTCGCTGTTGAGCCAGCTCTTCGATGTCCTTCAAGTTACAATGGTGTGGCTTCTGAGTAGTGTTTCGGAAAATGACTTAAACTTTCTTATGCTGGGCCATGGCTTGTGAAAAGAATCACTTGAGATGATTTTCTTTTTTTTGCTTTTTTTTCTGAGTACCTTTGAAATCATGCGAAATCATCGAAATAATGTTAGACTTCTTTGTAAGAATTTTATTTTTTCACTCGTCTGGATCCTTTTGAACGATTCCAAATAATCAAATTTGATCATTCCTAATTTTCGTTCCTCGGCCAACGCTGATCATTTTGTATAGTGGAACAAACATTTTATATCTAATCGCATATGAAAAGCTGGCCATTATTATAATTTAATAAGGACGGGAAAATGTATTCTTCTCTTTTTCGGAACTTAATGACTTTCCTTGCTGTGCCGAGAGTGAATTAGGTGCATTTACTTGTTTATTTATTTATTTATTTATTTATTTATTTTTTTTTTTTTCAGATTCCACGGAACTTAACTAATACAAGCAAACAAGTAAGAATATATCATAGTTGGATAAGGCCGAACGTTAAATATCCTACACACCGTCACTTTATGCAGTTACAAAAATTACATAATATTTTCATGCAAAGGCATATATATATATTTCATGAAAGCGCATCTATTCGAGGATGCCCAACACATCGCATTACGGGATCAAAATATTTCCAAACTTAATTTCCGAACTGAATTCGAGAAGAAACGAACTGGACGTAAGCAAGGAGCGAGAGCAATATATTATTCGGTAAACTAAGCTAAAGGATAAAATTCTATCTAATGTCCATTAAAAAACGGAATATATGCGAAACATAGAAAGAAAAAAAAAAATCTAGTTTTGGGCAGAATTTCACTTGAATTATAATCGAATTTAGATAAATTAGTCGCACTAGAGTGTAGTGCTCGGCATACACTTAACTTCCGAAATAAAAGTAAAAACAAATTAAGTGCAAAGTAAATATCAAGAAACGATGACAAGTAAATTTTGCGTTAAAGTACAGATAACGCCACATGTAACGGCCATTATATTGCATCAGCAATGTTGTTTATATGTTACAATTATTATGACGTTGCTGCTGTTCATTCAGTTGACGAAAGGAAAGACAAAAACAACAATTTTGTAGAAAGTTTTCAATTTTGTTATTGTTATTGTCGATTTGCAAACATATTTTTAAAGATCTATACTTATAATAATAAAATTAATATGAAGAGTTGCGTGTGTAAACACTATTCGCAAGTAGTAAAGTATTAGATGTGGAGCGTATATGTGGGAAGGATATTGTGATTGACAATAAGTACAAGTTATGTGGATTAAAAAACTGTTTTGCTGCGAATTGCGGCATTATCTTAGAAAGAGAATTACTTTTTCTTCAGAAATTTTTATTAAAAAAATAAAAAGAAAGCAAAAAAAAAAAAAAAGAGAAGAGAAGAGAAGAGAAGATGAAAAAAAAAGAAGCAAGATTTGTGACTTCCATGATTATCTCAGATAATTCTTCTTTCTTATATCTTTAACTTTAACTTGTAAGTACACTTTTTACCAATATTCGTCAATTAATACATTTACATAAAAGAAAGGCCAACGTAAGCACCACACGTAAATATGTTATTGTTTTTCTACCTTATTTTATACAATTTTCTTTTTCAATATGTTTCCCATCTCTTTACATAGGTTAATAATTTTTTTGTCTATAATGTATATTAAGAAAAAAAAAAAAAAAAACAAAAAAAAAAAACAAAAAAAAAAGGAAAAGAAGGAAAAAATTGGTGGTATTTTCTTAACACATTTGTTATTAGCTTTTCTAATATCCTTAGTATTGGAATAATTTGTATACGTATACATATACATACACATACACAAACATGTATTCATATATAATGTACTTATTAAGAGCGGGCATCTTACTAACTAACATTTGAACTATCACATACCAGTTCGTTTAGACCTCTACATCTAGGATAGAGATGATGATATATACTAAATATATAATAGAAACTTAATGAAATATATTGTAAAGGGATGAACGTATATGGATAAATAAATTGAATTCTCATGATTACAATGATGATTACAATTAAACGCACATAAAAAAAGAAGCAAAAAATATAAAAGAAGAGAAGAAGAAAAAGGTGAAAAAGTGAAATTTGAAATAATATAGTAATTGATTTAGTATTCCATAGCCGCTAAGGCTACGGCTTAGTTATATTCATTGGGGATTTAGTAGCCGATGTTGAGGTATTTGGATTTGCTGCTACTCTTTGGTTTTTCTGTCGCTGCACAAACGCTATCAAATATTCAATGCCCCAAGCAACGCCACACAACATTATGCATACGCTTTGAGCATGTATACAAATTGGATAACTTTTACTTACGTCACGTATTAGACCTAAATAATGAAAATAACATTTAGCGAATCGTATTTACATAAAGAAAATTAAATGAGCAAATAATTCATACCAATCAAGGGACCAAAGCATATAACGAATATCGCTTTACCCACCAAATGCCAACCGAAAGCTGAGGGTAATTTCTCCAGAGAGCAGTACTCAGAAACCGTTAAAGTGAAATTACTGAGTGCTGAGCCTCTAAAGAAACCACATATTGACAGCCATAACATAAGCTGAGTCCATTCAGTTTGCTCGGCCATAACTGCAAAAGAAAATAAAGTAGTAGTAGTAGTAGTAGTAGTAGTAGTTTTCATTATTCCACTATTCATTTCATTTTAATCGTTTGTCGTTTGTATTCTTACTTGATCTCGTGACAGCCACAAATATAATTGACACTAGAAAGACGGTACGTTTTTTGATATTTGTCCGATCGAATATTGGCGGTAATACAATGCGGGCCGTTATATCGGTAATGGCAGTTATTGATAAACAGAATGCTACATCCTTTTTATTATAACCCAGATTGGCAAAGAAGAACGGTGTTACCATTTTGAAATTCATTTCGGCGACATAAAATATCGATAAACCGAAGAGAATATTTAAGAACATTTTATCTTTTAATAAATCGACATCCATTAGATCAGCGAAACGTTTCCAGAAGCCGGGCTTAGCTTCTGCCTCATTATTCGTTTGGCTAAGTTCGTTTTCTTTTTCCGTCTCCTTTTCAGTGGGCTTCATTTTAATAAATGAATCCTGATTGGAACTTAACATCGCACCGGTGGCCGTGCTAACGCGTTTCAATTCACGATCATTTTGTTCAAACTCTTCGTCACCGACATTTAAATGGACTTGCAGTATAGATCCGGTAAAGTCCATATACGATAAATTCGAAGTAACGGAATGCTTACGATGCCTTAATGCCATGTTAACATCGCTATTCGAACTGAAACTATTGGCTGCCGTTTGTACACCAGTCAACGACATAATACGTGGAAATGTGGGTCGTTTTGGAAAACCGGTCATAGAACCGTTCATTGTATCCATTGCCATTTCCGAGAAATTTTTACGCATTTGCTGTCGATTAATATTGATATGTTTATTGAATAAAAGTGTATTCATTTCAGGTAAGGCATCTTCTTCCGTACCGTCTTCTTGAATGGCTTTAAATTCAGTTGGCGCCACAGCCGTCATCTCCTCATCGATGATTTCTTCTTTCATATGCCACTTAGCGGGTTGTAATAGCACTGAACCGACGGTAGCGTTTAAGGCCACGCCAGCTAATAATAAAACAGCTCCTCGAAATCCATAAGCTTCTAACAGCAAACGTACCAGTTGAGGCATTATTAACATGCCTAAAGCAGTGCCGGCCATAGATAAACCGACCGCTTGACCCCGTTTATGCTTAAAGTAATGATTCAAAGCGACAAAAGCTGCCGATGTAGCTAAGCCCACGCCAATGCCATTTATAACACCGTATGTGCTTAGTATGTGGGCCATACTGGCAGCCGGACTGGTACAGGCCAAGCCAATGCCACATAACAAGGAACCAGCTATTGCTACCTTTCGATAGGAAAACTCTTTGAGCAACGGGCCAACAAACAGACCCGAGAAGTTCATGCATACATCTAAAGTACTAATAATCACAGCCGCACCGGTGGTGCCAACATCGAGATCACGTAATAAATCACCAAAAAGCAAACCGAATGATGGTTCTATCGAGCGAGTGGCCAGCTACAAAAAAAAAAAAAAAAAAAAAAAACAACAAAAAAAAAATCAATAAGTAAAATATATATGACATATGTATTATATCAGGGGTGGGCCGACATATTTCATCGATGGGCCAATTTTAATTTTCATAACACGTTTGAAGACTTTTTGTATTTGTTACTTGCACAGCAAAGCCGTTAGCGAAAAACAGATACATTCAGTCCGTTTCCAGCATTGTTAGTTATAAGCAAGTAAATTGAATTATTTGTAATTGCAAATGTGACGGGCCGGCGGGTTGTTTATACCCGCATTACTACATCGTTGATATTATATTTATATTACCTACAATTGTTGTGTGCGAAAGCAAAAACTTATAATTAACGTGAGAGATCATTTATAATGAAATATTTTTACGCTTTTGATTGGCGTGCTTTAATTATCTCTTAAAGAGATTCAATCAAAATTCAATTGATATATTCCGATATGAGGCATAGCATGAAAAATAAAAGAATGTGGGAATTTCTGTGCTAATGTAAAAATGAAAATATAGTTCTTGCGATTAACTTATCAATACCGTAAGCAAGCCGCATCTCGCAAGTCGCAAATCGCAAACGCCGCAAACTGCAAGACTTTCATTATTATCAGCAATCGATTAATTTATGTAATTTTTTGAAATTTAACGATTTGTTGCTGCTAATGTTTTGGTAAAAAGAGCTAAAGAAAAAGAAAATTTCAGACGCTCAACGATTCTTATCTGCTTAATGATAACGATTTTATTTATATGGTTTACCACCGTCAAGCCAGTAGCTGTATGGTTATGACCTTAATAAAGAATTTCATTTTAAATTGATTACGTAATAAGCGAACGAAAAATTTGCACATTATACAAAAAAATAAATAAATATATAAATAAAAAAAAAATAAAAATTTTTCTTTATAAAACTTTTTAGGTTTTCTAATCATCCCTGAAGCGATGTTTATATCGAAATTGTTTTCTTCTTTTTTCTCTTCCAACATCTAATATCTAGAACTCTGCACATAGTAGAGAGACCGCGCAAAGTTTCTTCTCATCATATTTCCATTAGTTTGAGATATATTTCTCTCTTCTCGAGATGATGATGATCGCAACAATTGGCAACAGGAAGTGGCAATCTTTCATATAAACCTATGGCTTATGGCTCCGGAAATCAAATTGGA